CTTATAATTTGGGAGTGTCATATAAACCCGATTTTGTTGTAGTGAATTATGTTACGATTTTGAACCAAAATGAATTGAATAGAACAAAAAACAAAATTTTGAAAGTTGAGAACCAAATGGAAAACCGATTTCTTAATAATCTAAGATCAAATAGAACAAAACAGTCTTGGTTTAGGGGTCGTTTACCAAACGCTTACTCGGGTAAGTGAACACCAAGTCACATCACCTTAACAGATGAATATGGTAAGGATCAAGAATTTTACCTAATAAGAGCGAGACAAGGACCAAGAGCCTTACTCAGTAAGTGAGGGTGACGACTCTTGCCACGGTAAGCACTTACCGGGTAAATTGTTGCATATGATACCGTTTTAGTGGGCTAAAATCTTACCCGATAACTAAATGATAGTGTTAAATTTTACCCGTAAACATTTACTGGGTAAGTGTTTGGTAAACGACCCCTTAGTCTAGTCTGCTCTTGATTTGATTCTCCTGATATAGCTAATACTCATGATGTGTTTGGTATGTCTGACAAAATAGGTATTGGACAGAACAAAAACTTGTTGTTCCGTGTTTGGTGTTATATCTAGATTGACCCACTAAAATAGGTTAAACTATAGTCAGAAAAACGTTACAAGATTAGTAAATTATTAAATTATTTGTTAAATTAAAACCCTAAAATATTGCACTATTCTTTCAACAAACCCCCCCCCCCAAAAAATTCATGTCACGCTCATTTTGTGTAGCAAATGCACTATTGGAGAATATATTACCAACAAATCATATAAAAATCTTTAAACTTGATGGGCCATGTTTTTTTTCTTATCAATGGGTCACAAGTAAAGCCCGATATGAACTTAGTGAAGAAAATGAAGGCCCATTTCATGTACATATCGGCTTTGGGCTCGGCTACGTTACCGTTTATCGGTTTTCGACTATGTATTTTATAACATATGAGTCTATTATCGATATTGGGTCAAGGGGTCGAGGCCCGTCCAAGGCGCGACTAAGCCTGTTGGTTAATAAAAGGTCCATAGTCATGATTGTTTTATGTATTTTCTTTTACTTTTTAATTTTCTCATATTTAAATCCTTAAATGTAATAAAAGATTTTAAGAAAATTGTGTCATTGTTAAATAAAAAAAAGTTGGGTTATTAATAACGACTTGTAACACCCTCCGTAGACTTCTTAAAAATTATTCTATTCATATATTGATTTTTATAAAGCTTGCAAAGTTATATTTTAAACAACAATAAAATAATCCGAAATTTTAATGGTTGAGAGATCCTTAGTTAAATCCAAAGTTTTAAATGATGTGGACATGACATGACGACGAGATCAAGTCTCAAGCCTTTAGAGCTGTAATGAGACCATAATGTTTTCCAAAATGTGACTTATAATGGCAAATCTGCATATCATGCGTAACTATATAGATATATAATGTTTTCTATTATTATTTGATGGGTCAATGATATTAAATTCCTTCAACATGGACTTAATTTCTGACGTTTTTTCCATGGAAGATCGATATTAAATCTCACCTTCTTCGAAAGGATTTTGGCGAGCAATTTTTTGGACCGCTTCTGTGTACGTGATTTGGAGTTGTCGTAACAAAGTGATGCTTTCTTATCGGTCACTCCGGGATTCTGATTTGGCTTTCGATGTCCAGCTAATATCATATCATTGGCATTCTAATCATGCAAAAGATTTCAATTTACCCTTGGCAGATTAGTGTTGCAATGTAAGGGATAATTTCTTGGGTTGCTCGTTTCATCGTCGTTAGATCTTTTCTTCTTTCGTGTTGTTTCTTTTCTTATTTTATCTTAGTCTTCGGTTCCTTTTTTAGCTTTTTACGTCTTGTAGAAAGGATCTTCCGAGTTCTTGTAATATGGTTTTTTCTTTTAAAAAAAAATCAAGTTATATATTTAAAAGTAAAAAATAAGACACAAATGAAAAAAAAATCAAATATCACATTATAAAAACAATAAATAGACTATGACATATCATAGATTTAATATATTATTAGACATAAGCTTTAAATAACGTCTAACTTTTAAAACACCAATTAAAAAAAGTAGGGTACGAGACTTTTTGTCATTTTTGGTCAACAAATGTGATCTCCATTTCATATTGTAATATAATTAAAATATGTTCCGTGTTTCCTAATCATAAAATGAAATAGTTTTCTTATTAACCTGGATATCTAATTCGTTATGTAAGTCGATTAATTCCAGGGCGACCACCTGCTTAATTTGCAGATAACTTTATTCCTCCTTCGATTTGAACTTGAAACCTCCTGGTATTTTTGACCTTTGGAGTCAAGCTCAAACCAATCAAGCACCACCCTTATGTTGAAAAAGACTCTAGTTTGTGCAACGTATGACATAAATCTTAAATTTTAAGCGTTACTCATTAGCCTACTTGATATCTTACCCAAATTTCTTATAGTGGGTTCATAAGATTCATAAACATCACCAAATTGATTAAGGTTTATATATACAAGGAGATAGAGAGTTTTGGTAAATTAATCGGAATCCAAGCTCATGATGGTCCATTTGTTTCACCCACGGGTAGCACCATGCTTCCTTTAGGCAACACCATAGTAGGTATCGGTGTGTGCACTCTCACCATCTTGCATAGCAAGTAACCGTCTCCGTTCGTCGAGTCCGGAGATGTAGCCGTGGTTTTGTCTTCTTTCAAAGCAGGCGAACGAAACTCATTGGTCTTGTTTGGGATATCTGAACCAAAGAGAAAAATATCATCAATGCAAAACCGACCAAGCCTGTTTTTGCAAAATGGCTGATAAGCTAGCTGATAGTTGAAAAACTAGCTTAAACTAGTAGAAACCTTTCGTAAACAAGAACAGTAACCAAATTCCGTACCGTTGTCTGAATCAGAACCGCTTGAACTCATAGTAGAAACCTTCCGGCGCTTGGTATTCTGCATTTCAGCAGTAGATACTAATATCCGCCACAAAACCGCAAATAAAAGAAGTTAGAAATCATCAATAAGTTTCTTTTTTTGCCATAAAGCAGGAACAGTGGGTATATCTTTTTTTGGTTCTATAAATTATGTTTTATAAAGCAGTCTATTAGCACGCTTAAAAATTGGTGGCGTCCTACAAACCCAGTTGTAGTGATTCTATCAAGATTCATACATAGATATGCAAAAGCAATGTCGATAATTGAACAATTTTAGATGACTAGTAAAAGAACGATGCAGGAGGGTAAAGAATGATATACGAGTAAACGTTGTGAAGTGATTGAGAGCTTGTTGAGCGGCATCGTTGTAGGCGGATTTGGAGGATTTAAAGATGGATTGAGAAACGAACGTGAAACCATTGACCGCAACCGAGCCTCTGAAACGTGGATTATGCTCTTCTCCGTCTTTGACGAAGGAATACACGGGAGATCTCCATCTGTTCTTTTGGCATAGTTCATTCAACTTGCTCTTGTTCATTGTTGATGCTTCTTCTCAAACAAGTGTTGAAGAGAAGATAGAGGCTAGAAACAAATGGGAATTGGGTTGGTGTAGGCCTTAAAACGCCATTGGAGGAAGCTTGACATAAAATCTGCATGATGTACCTTCATGTACCCAAAGAGAATAAAAACAGTTAAATATATTTATCTATCTATTACATTGATATGAGTTAAGTTGAGAAACGTAAGAAGGGATTTGAAGCTGATCACTTTTAATCTCATCCCTATCTCATGAAGTTTTTCACGGGAATTGCTTAGTTGCATCTTATTATTGTTGATCTTCAATTATGATTAATCAAATGGTGGAAAATCTTTTCTTACCGAAAATTAATCATAAGTTTACTCTCAAAACTTTCCTTTTAGACGTGGGAGGAAACCGAAGGAAAGGAAACAAATTAAAACCCTTTAAAAAGATTATTAGAATTACAAAAAGACATTTGTAATTTTTTTTCTTTGTTTCATTAAGTTTAATATTTAATTTTTTTGCATTTCGCTCAAATAGTGATTACAGTGATTTTTATTGCTAATTCTCATTTTGTTTTGCTTATTATGAAATGAATATTTATGTAATTTTTTATTTTTTTTAATTGTAATATTAGGATTATGTTTGTGTTTTAATTATTTCTTAAATATTTTATTAGAAATACATAAATTAATGAATTAAAATTAATAGAAAACATTTTAAACTAATATTTATATTTTGAATTTTACTTATTTTATATTACATTTTATATAATTATCTTTAAGATAGCTTTTGGTACGTAGACTAGACATGGCAGGACTGGACAATACTAAACTAATTATCTGTTTTGTGTTTGGTAAGTTGGATAGGACATGATAAAACTGTTAAAATGACTAAATAATCTTATGATTTAGTCTCATGTTGTTCCATCCTATTTTGGTGGAACAAAAAATCTTAAGTTGTGTCCCGTTAAAACTTGTTTTTGTACGAAGTTGTCCCATCTAATTTTTGTTCCATGACATACAAAACATGAGACTATTTCTTTTGTGCCGTCCCATCCCACCAAGTCTGCATACCAAATGCACCGTAAATAAATAAAACTATTAAAAGAACTAGTGTTAAGTTTTATTGGAACTTTTATTTTGTTGAGCAGCGATGATGCAAAAAGAAAAAAAAAACAGAAAGGAGGTTATTACATTGTGGATCATCGAAATTTTTTCAGACATGATTTATATGGACCGTAACTGTTTCTAGTTATTTTCTAATAACATTTATTTATGTATCTGCCAAATTATACCAAAATAGAGACACATTTGTGTTGATTTCTGTTTTGAGAATAACTTTCAAAATTTTCATGTCAAAATAATTAACGATGGAGTTCTTATTTTCTTTAGGTGACGTTGAAGGATGAAGAAGATGCATAATTGTAATAATGTTGATGACAACTGGAAAAATAAGAAAAAGATGCATGCATCGATAAACAAGATGCAGAGTGACGGGTGTAATAGGACGTCTACAGAGTAAGGACCAGAAAAGAATGAAGGTGGCAAGTACGTGAAAGTGAAAAAAGTACTGATCGGGTAACTGATTACCTACTCATCGGGTAAATTGAAACCCCAAAGTACTTACAAAGGTATTCTAGTTGCATAAAATAGAAATTTTTACAACAAAAACATATAATTGCAAAGAATATTGATATTTCAATAAGAAATAGTGCATTTTATCGCAAATTTTTTGGTGCAAACTTGGTACGCCCGATTTATATCCCTCATTTGACTCCACTGGTTGACTTAGCAAACAACTCAGGAGAACCCAATCTAGTACAATTAACGTAATCTTGTGGGCCATGTGCTGGCAATCCTGCGATCAAAAGTCCGATCACTCTCCAACCTCGGCAGGTATACGTTTCACCATAATCTGGTCCATTTTGATAATACATAATGAAGCTCCTAATCAACTCCCAGGTTGCGTTTGCAAACATGGGTATTATCGCAAATATCGAGAAGTAGTTTTTATTTGGTTCTTCAAGGAGCACCTGCACACGTAAATCAAAACCTTAGGGATTAGTTTCCATAACGCACTATAACAAAATCAGCTATATATAAAATGCCAAATTTGTTGAAATAAGACTTAATTTCACAGGACCAAATGATTGTGTGCCATATATAATGGTGTTACAATAAGTTGATAAGACACTTTAAACAAATTTGACGTCATATAAAACTTGTAGTGACGTTCGATCAGAAAAAGATGTCGAATAGATTACCTTTCCCTTGTAGAAGCTATTGTAATAATGGCATGTACCAAAATGTTCGAAGTAGCGTTCAGAAGTATCAAAGGGAACTCTAGGAACCAAATCGTTGCTATAAACAAACCTATGGTACCTCATGTCATGAGCTACCAACACCTCTTTCATGTATTCACCAAATTTTTTATCTCCAACCCTAGGTTGACCAAATGTATACACCCCTTCTAGTTTTGATAACAAGTCAGTCTCTTTATGGTATGCTAAAACGGCCGGAAACAAAACCGCTAATGCTGCTCCCAGACTATGGCCCGTTACCAAGATTTTGGCATTTGGGTTGTTTTCAAGACGCTCTTTAAGCTTTTGTCTCATGGCATAGTAAGCATAGGGTTTTTCTACGTTTGATTGGAGGTCTTTAGGCCAACCTTGGCTCTTTTGTAACCCTAGGGCTTTCATGAAACCGGCATGGACCTTGCCTATGTCGGGGAGGTGAAGCCATGAAAGATCTACGTCCGAGGACCAGTCCTTGGCATTGAAAGGTGATGTGCCTCTAAAGGAAACACCTATCAGCTCGGAATCACCAGTGTTATCGCTCCATATGAACCCTTGTGTCGTGAAATCCTCTTCATAGTCTGAAAGAAATGTAACCAATCAAAACCATTTTATTTCATTCACTCTGTGGTTTAATCACTACAATACGATCGAATTTATAAGGTGTCAAATATGTTTAAATGTCCTAATAGAGTATTTTATGACTAAACAATGGCACTACCTATGTAATAACGTTTTTGGATGTCTTAACAAGTTTTTTTTAAGACTAGTTTGAAATAAAGAGTGATATTAGTTTTTTTTATATGCCATTATTTAAAAAAATATCTTATTAAAGCAAGTATCCTATGTAAAGATTTGTTCATGTAACACTTCGAAAAAATGTCATATAGAAAAACTAATACGACCTTGATTTTAAAGTGTTCCAGAAAACTTGTTAAAATACACAAAAACGTCTTATAAACTTATTGCAACGCTTTTACATAGGACGAACAATTGTTTGGTCGTATAAAAAAGCAGTCTATTCGGACATTTTCAACGTCATATAAACCTGATTTTGTTGTAGTGATGGTTACTTACCGTTCCAACAATCAAAAAACCCCACGAACTCCATCTGTAAACATATATCTCTATTCCGTTAACTTTTTGGCATTGTAAAATATTTTTGATGCTAATAATAAAAAAATATATGGCATTTTACGTAGTTGTTGTATGTATATATACCTTCCAATGCTTCTCGACCGTTTCTTTGATGTAGGCTTGGTTTTCGTACGCCGATTTAGCAGCCATAACAGCGAGTGCACTTGTGTATCTGAGATCATCATGCTTAATTCTACTGTCTAAATCTCTTCTTATGTCCCATAGCCCAATCGCCGATAAAAACTCCGATGACTCGATGTCAGGTACCACCAGTTTTCCTATACATTTTGACCGATGGTTAATACCAATCAATCGGAAACTATGGAGGATGAATTCTTTTAGTTTTTTTTCTCAAACTTCCCAAACTTTTTAACTTTACACTCAAGAATTTAAGATTAAAACTAACTAGAAAATAAATAAAACTAACTTATGAAATTAAATAAAAATAAATTTCAATAGAAGTAACAATGAGTAATAAGTTTAAGGACAAAATGCACAAAATAGCAATCTACTTTCATAATTTTTTTTATTATAACATTGTACTTTCAGTTTTTCTTATTATAACAATGTGCTTTCAAACTATTTTTTATTAGAACATTGTACTTTGAAAAATTTACCCATTATACTATGTTTCCATGTCATCTCATTGTCCACGTAGGCTGTCCACATGTACTATAGTGATGTGACTTTCTTACTACATTATTGTACTTTCAATATTATTTTATTATAGCATCTACTAGTTCTTATTAAACACTGTTTTTTTAATTATAATATTTAGATTATTTTACATGTTATTTAATAAATGTATTATCTGAATTAAAAAAATTATGAATTATTCATTAATATACCAATATCAATAAAACTAGTAGAACACAACTTATCTCGCTAATATTTTTAAAAAAATAT